TTTCCTCCTCCTCCACCTCCATTAGAGGACTCTCGCGGTGGCCAGCGCTATCTAGTTGAGCAGCTGTTGAACCACCGCGACGTGAACGGACGTCGGACGAGTTATCTCGTCCGGTGGCGCGGCTATCCCCCGTCCTGGGATTCTTGGGAGCCCCGCTCCCAATTGATGGTTGACGTACTGGGTCTGGTCGAGCAGTACGACGCGACACATCCTGTGCCGCAGAAGGACCGCCGGAGAAAGTCTTCCCGGCACGGTCGTAAAGGGATTTCAGGTTGTCAATCCCTTCGTACATCTCAGTAGAGACACGTACGCGCCACCACGGGCTGGTAAGGAGGTAAGCCTCCTTAGGTGCTCGTGCAGAGTTGTTCACACAACATGGGCACGAGTCTCCCCAAGAGAGGCAGGGTAATCCTTTCTCCCTTGACAGACGATGCAGCTTATAGCGTGCACCTGTCGGGGTTCGCTTTTCAAACTTATCACGAGCTTTGATAAGTTTGTCGTTCCAAGCGTCACGACCTACATCCTCGAGATTATGGATGTAGGCGTTCCACGCCTGAAGTAGTGAGGGACCATCACGTTTGTGATTCCCACTGTACCATCGATGTCTGAAGAAAGCATCGATGAAGAACTCATGTTCAGCGCGATAGTCTTTCGCGCTGGGGTCAAGGTGATGGATCCTTGACGAATCGAACAATCGTGTTCGATAACGATCACTCGTCGTCGCCGACAAGTGATCCATGACAGATTTAGGAGGCATCCATGCCTTCTTCTCGGGAGCGAGACGCAAGACATTGCGATCCCGCTCTTCCTGCGATGTGCCGACAGAAGTACTGGCACCTCGCTGTGAAGTGGTGTCCATTGGAGAAACGACACCACTATTAGCGCCCGAGTCTCGCGACCTCGAGCGCCTTCGCTTCGGCGATGGTTCATCTGACTCATCAGATGAACCAAAGATGCTGCGACGCAAAGCATCGTCCATGCCACGCTTGGCAGGCGGCTTGGATTCAATTGCCGTCGATACGGATCCGTCATCCGTATCAGGAGAGTACGAGACACCGAGCTCGTACTCTGTGAAGACACGAGTGTCTTCATGACCAGCGCCTGCATCACCAGGTGATACAGGCTGAGTCGATTCAGCAACCGATGGGACATCAGTTGCTGTAGTTTCTGCTTCGGCGTCCGCACAGAGACGTGCAGACGCGCTCTCGGCGGTCTTGCTCGCGCATCGCATGGGCTTGTTTACCATGCGATGAAATGTTGGAAAGTGGACGCGTACCAACAAGTGCAAACCCCGTCCCAAATGATTTGGGACGAGTATCCATTTAGTCAATCAGTCACTAAAGTGACTGATGGTTAAGGGGGGGTGATGTAACGGGGTGAATCGTTACATAACAATTTATAAGAAATTGTTAATAGAATATAACTATAAGAGTTATATTCTCAGAATATTGTCATAAGGACAATATTCTGTAGCACTTCCAAGTAGTTCCTAATTGGTTGATATAGGCCATTATATCAACCAACGAAGACGCGCCACGACAGACGCACGCAATGAGTGGTGAGCAGATAACTGATTTACACATTTGTATTTAGACATTGTTAGATGAAGATAAATAGTGATTTATTGCAGACATTAACTATTATAAATACAGTTCTACTTTTTACTCTAACCAAGTACTCGCTTCTTCTTACCGTCTTCCTCTGCACGTACGAGTGTACGTGAAGTTACGAGGCACCGCCTTATTCTGTTATCGGAATAAGTAGCTTGTACTGTCACCAGTACAAGCTTCAGGGTGCCCCGTTACACCTCTGGTCGCCGTTGGTCACTATTGAGCCAATAGGTGCGGGCATTCGTGCATGTGTGACTTACACACTTCATGCAGTTGCAATCAGTAAACAGATCAAAAAAACTCTACATCGAGTATCTACGTCTTCAAATGATCCGTCCAGGGCACACGAGCGTGCACAGAACGATTACAAGGCGTTGAGAGTCGATCGCGTATCAAAAACACCCCAGGTGGTCGGCCGACACTCTTCGAAACTTGCTCGTTCCAGTAGGTAGGCAGCTTTAAGTCGCGATGTATCAGCCCGTGTCACGTATGAGAAGCGCAAAGTCATTAATTTCACAAGCTGATATACTGGACCATGAACACGCTATTATGAATCGATATCTCATCACCGAAAATCCGCTGCAACTGGTTCTATGGTCGCTTGCAGTTTTGCGTAAAAGTTTGGTGTGCGCATATGAAAGTTACGTGTGTCGATATACGTTTTACTTTGCATTTACAACAAGGCTACATTGCAACAAGTGCAGATCACGGACCCATCCATTCTTTGAGTTTAAACATCAGTATTTGATACCACAACACCAGACACGAGAAGCTTTGACGAAAGAAAATTTTCGGTGCATCCTGAAGTATTTTGTGATATGTGACATGCAATTCTTTTCATACTACATGACTTGAAGGTATCAAGCAGACGTGTTTCAAGTTTTGGAGGCGAATGAAATCAAACATGTGTGGGCGAATGAACGAGACTTTCGACTGTGCTACTAGACGTACTTGATGTTGATTGATGAGCTTTCCCTCACAAGGAGGGTACACAAATTGAGTGAAGCCGCATGTTTGTGAGTCAATTCCACGGTAATCTTTAGTAAAAGGCGAAAGATTAATACGTTTTGAAATTAACTCTGCGGAATAGTCTTAACCACAAATACACCTTTCGTCTTATACCCCAGCAGTACCCGCACGTGGTTTTGACACACAGTGATACCAACAGCTGGAGACAACCTGGAGACATGCGCGGGGAATTCACATGACTCATGCCAGTGTAGAGCACATTGATCAATACGAAAGTCCGTGAAGCAGCAATACAACTGACCAGGTCAAATTCTAGTGAGCGACACAACACCATCGACTTTCTCCTCACATCGTGCACTTACTACACGGTTCGCGAGTGAAATACTACGATCGTCTCGTGGTAACTCCACTTCCATTTAAAGTGTTCAGTAGTCGGAGTATATGAGACTCGATAGCGACAACCGAGGCTCATTTGCAGCTCCCGAGATGATTAACATGTCGAACTACCGGCTACAGGACTGCAAAGGGAGGAATGCGTTTGTTAGATGTGCGTATCCGGGCACTTGTAATGATTTGAAAAACATGGCAGGCGTTCGGGTAAATGCAGGAAAAGCATGATATTAGGAAGCTAGCAGGACACGAACCCGTAGGCCTTTTCTAACGCGGCCGTATGCATACCGACGTATACAACAACTCGTAGTATTCGGCGACCTTTGTTGGCTCAGTGTTTAAAATTAACGTGTACTCGCCGCGATTGTAGCGACACAACGTCGAGTAAACAATTCGAGCACCATGACGAGAACATAAATATTTACGCGTGCGAGCATGAAGCTTATGTGTATCTGCAATATCATACTTTCTAGTGAGCTGCAACACCAATTAGTATACACACCGACAGCTACTACGACTTCTTATCTAGACACCTGATGTTCGATCATGTTAATCATCTCGGGAGCTGCTAATGAGCCTCGGTTGTCGCTATCGAGTCTCATATACTCCGACTACTGAACACTTTAAATGGAAGTGGAGTTACCACGAGACGATCGTAGTATTTCACTCGCGAACCGTGTAGTAAGTGCACGATGTGAGGAGAAAGTCGATGGTGTTGTGTCGCTCACTAGAATTTGACCTGGTCAGTTGTATTGCTGCTTCACGGACTTTCGTATTGATCAATGTGCTCTACACTGGCATGAGTCATGTGAATTCCCCGCGCATGTCTCCAGGTTGTCTCCAGCTGTTGGTATCACTGTGTGTCAAAACCACGTGCGGGTACTGCTGGGGTATAAGACGAAAGGTGTATTTGTGGTTAAGACTATTCCGCAGAGTTAATTTCAAAACGTATTAATCTTTCGCCTTTTACTAAAGATTACCGTGGAATTGACTCACAAACATGCGGCTTCACTCAATTTGTGTACCCTCCTTGTGAGGGAAAGCTCATCAATCAACATCAAGTACGTCTAGTAGCACAGTCGAAAGTCTCGTTCATTCGCCCACACATGTTTGATTTCATTCGCCTCCAAAACTTGAACACGGTACCGCAATACATGTCTTTTTCTCCTACATTCCATGCGCTAGTGATCCAATATTCTGACATTGGAACGACATGTTAGCATCGGATGGAGACCCTGTTTGGCCGGTCTGAATCGCAGCACGCAAAGGATCTCAAGAGCATAGTGCGTAAATAAGTGCATTTCTTGAAGCCCCCTTTCGACGACGTCAAAAAACTGTTGACGTTCAGAACTTGTTAGTTGCGGGCTACTTAAGTCTTTTTGGTCTATCACGTCATCTACGTCGCTCACTTTTTTTTCTTTGAGCACGTGACGTATTGGCAGGTGGATAGAGATAGAGAAACAATCGGCGACTCGGGTTCATAATTAGATTTCGCTGTTGACGTGCCGCTGGTGAATACGTAGCTGGATGTGGCATCCTTATTTTTCAGACGCAGTAGCTCATCGCCGGAAAAGTTCGGCAAGCTTGATAGGCTCGCCAGGCCGTGACCTTTAACTTTATATTTCGTGATACTTCTCTCATTAAAGAGTTGGAAGATTCGTCCTGGTGAAGAGGCTTAAAAAAGTGGAGAAATTGTAGGAGTGACTGCAATGCCACCACTTCGGTTGTCAATTGTTGTGCAATCTTGTCAAGTGCAGTCCGAAGCAGCATGTGGCATACACAACCGGTAGTTTATACATGTTTGTGCTACTACTGTTTGCATCCGTTCCACGTGCATTGACCGGTACCAAATCAAAGCTGAATAAATGTGGCAATCATAGACACCGGAAGTACAGGCAGCAAAAGTCGCATCGCCATGTTCTCATCATATCCTGCGGTGCAGCGATTGAAAGAGAAACGCTTTCGACGCTACAGACCCAGCGCTATTCGCTGTAGCTGGTGAAACATGAAACTCACCCCTTGCATCTAGAACTAGTAGAAGAACGTGTCCCGCGTGACATGACGCTCGAGACCTCGAAAGCGGTCCTCCTTGCCCATTCTCCACAAGTAGAAGTCTAGCTCAAGAATGCCGATGCAACCGTCACTCGCCATTACAATCTGGTCACACGCTACGATCGCAGATGCTCGCAGTTCGCATTCCTGTTGGCCGGCACTAAGTTCCTCGCCGCGGTTGATCCGACTCTCAAGCTCTGCATCGTACTGTGACCATGCAGCACAAACTTGTTTAGATAGTGTGCGGAAACCAGGGACAAATGGCAAGGTCTTTTACCTCAAGCACTCCTAGGGCGTGCAGCACGCATGGCAGGACCTGTCTTGCAGCAAACAGACAAGTGCGTTAAAAGTACTGCAAGATCTCACTAAGGTAGCACACTCTTACGTTATCGCTGAAAGCATTGAGTTTGTTGATGTCGGTAAACGCCAGCATCGGGTCAGAGTCCTATAAAGCATAACGCGATCATTTAAAGGGAGCGACATGTGGCTCGTCAGCTCTTTCGGCCGAAACACCTTACCTTGAATCGACGGTATATGCTTGCGACGGCCAATTGAGCGCGTTTGAGAAAGTACACTTTCTCGCCATGGAACTCATTGTGATCGTCAAAGCCGGGAAATGTAGCCACAAGCTGATTCACAAGGTAGGCGGCGCTAGCTCCAGTCCCTTGTAAAACCTTCCCTGCCACCTCATGTGTTCCTTTTGGCGAAAGGTGGGCTAGAATGAAAGCTCCAAAATCGTCTATTTTCAGATCAACCAGCTTCTGTCCACTTTCATTCAGTATCTATACCCGCCGACATGCCAAGCAACATTTGATCAGTCTTCATTGCCGTCGTCTCGTTCAAAGCAATCTGAACGTGACTCACCTTCTGAATCATTACAGCCAGTGGCTTCAGTGGCCCCTACATCGACATACCACGCAAACCCACCAGCACTTAAGCGCCCAATCCAACTTTGTCATCCGTTCCTCAAACAGCTTCGCACCGGCTTAGCCATGTAAATGCCTCGAGAAACCTCTTCATCTCTCTCCAATGGAATACCAAAGTATGACGCAACGCGGTCGACGCTCACATGCTGCAAAAACTCAGCATCTAGCTTGGGCACGGAAATGTACATGCCAATGAGCCCAAAAACCTGTAAAAAACAAAAGAAACCATCAGCCTTAGCAACAGCCAAAGCACTACATCTACAACGAAACGAAGCAGCAGCAGCATCTCTATCTCTCTCCACATCACGATAAAATTGTATCACCACCACACTCACTATCGTATCATGAGCTCCTCGACCCGCGAACTTATGCAAGTCCTTGCGAAACCCACTACCAAAGCTCAGCAGTCCATACAGCGCTTCACACACCGAGCAACACATGGGCACACAACGAGCAGAAAGTAATCCATTCAGTCAGATACTCAGTCAGTCATTTAGTATTCGTCAGCCTCTCAAGCTACTACTGCAACTTAACGCACTTAGAAAGTTAAGTTCGTCCTGTTGCGATCGGAACGTCAGCGGGAACGTCATGAACTCCGCGACCGGTTGCTTCTGTTGAAACGTCTCGTCAACATCCTTAGCAAACGCATGCAAAGCGTCTACGTTGATGTGCACAGACGAGGATCCGTGAGCTAGTAGTGCCGCACACGAAGGCCGAACGCACGCGAGGAGATCTGCGCATGAAGCCATTTTGGAAATGGTGATGTGCTGTACCCATCTGGAAAGCGTACTTTTAGTTTTTAAGTTCGCATCCTTGTAAGTACGGTTCGGCTGCTTTCGTTAAAAAGCGCTGACAAAAAGCCCGTTATTCGACGACGTTGTTCCCCCCGCAGCTGTGATGCTCGAGATCCGCGAGCTGCGACCGCTGCTGGCGATCCTCAATGTGCGTATGCACTTTGTATGTATATTCCCACTGAGAGGAGGAGGCTGCGGTGCTACTTTTGTATCACCACGTTCGGTAGCGTGCTGGGTGCTGGAGCTGCCGTTAGAAATGTCGTCTCTAAACAGGTGCTCGATTCGCTTTTTATTTACGGGAAGTTTCTAACGCGTGCTGGGTTTCTATACAGGAAGATGACAAGCCGCTGGAACACGTAATTGGCACGTTTCTACGCACGTTTACAAAGAACGACCACTTTAAAGTTGGCTGTACGATCTGCATCCTGCTGCAGGACAATTTACTCACGAGCTCTCAAGTGAGCCACACGTTTCTATCGTTTCTATTTCTATCGCTATTGTTGCTATTGAGAAGCGAAGGAGGAGCGTCTCTTTTTACTTTTTTGTGTGTGTGTGTCTCTCTCCTTTTGTGTGTGTGCTGTAATTTGTATGCAGCGTTTCGTGGGCTTTTCGATCTTGAGTGATTTGTACCGCAACGACGGCGGCACAACGAACCCGTTTTTGCCAGTGTTCTTGGCTGCTTTAGAAAAAGGCAGCGATGGATGCGAGAAACTGTTCATTGTGCATCTGCTATCGGCTGCTGGAGCTGCTCGTGACGTGCGTGGGATATATTGGGACTATGAATGATTGAGGTGTGATTGGGCGAGTAACTTTGTTGTTCTTGCCGGTGTTGTTTTTGCTTGTTGTGTGTCGTTTTTTGCTGCTACTATTACAGTCGAGTAAGAAGACGGCAAAGCAGTTGATGGCCGATTTTCGAGCGAATCCGTCGCAGTCTGTTAAGTTTGATGTTGAGACGATGAGACAAAGCTACTTGAAGCGCACGCCAGTAGTGCCGCAATTCCGTGCTGCCGGGATTCGAAACGTGGTGACGGACACAGAGTTTGATCTGCAAGAGCATGTAAACAATGGGGCCAATCTGCAAGTACCTCCGAACGAAGTGAGTTCACTGAACCTGCCATGCTTTGAAGCGCTGTCGTTGGAAGAGATGAGCTTGCTCGGCGATGACCAGACTGCAGCCGGTACCGCCGCTGGACCAGCTGGCAGTTCTGCAAGTGTACCGGCTTCTGGCTCGTTGTCATTGCTGAGCTTCGAGCCGACATTCATGCGCCTCCCCCCACCCATCCTCGAGCCAGACATGACCGAGTTAATCTGGTTGAATCCGGACTACTATCCGACGGTGTTGTGGGACTCGACGATGCTGGACTCGACGCACGGCATTGCGTTGCGTGAGCTCATGCAACGTGCATTCCAGAAGCCACTGGTGCCATCGCTGCAGCAAAAAGTGCTTGCGGAACTGGAAGCAGATCCGAAGCTTGTGTATCACTGCTCGCTAACGCCCCAGCGATTACCAGATCTCGTGGAAAACAACCCAATGTTGGCCATCGACTGCCTGCTGAAGCTCATGTCATCGAACCAGATCACAGAATACTTGTCAGCTCTGGTGAACATGGACATGTCGCTACATTCGATGGAAGTCGTGAACCGACTGACAACGGCAGTGGATTTGCCGACTGAGTTCATACACCTGTATATTTCTAACTGCATATCATCGTGCGAGAACATCAAAGACAAGTACATGCAGAACCGCCTTGTGCGCCTTGTGTGCGTTTTCCTGCAGTCGCTGATCCGGAACAAGATTATTAACGTGCAGGTACGTCATGCGACGCCTTTTTGTACTCATTGTGTAAACGCGGTTTCCTCACGGTGGTTTTGCTCAACTCTTTGTGTAGGACTTGATCATTGAGGTACAAGCTTTTTGTATTGAGTTTAGTCGTATTCGCGAAGCAGCAGGGCTGTTCCGCTTATTGAAGACGCTGGAATAATAGGACCGGGTTCCAGCGTACATGAAGAGCGAGCAACAAAGTACAAACAATAAAATTGCGAACGACCGACTGGACATTGGTGTACGAGTAGTCACCCACCCCACCAAGCTTGATACTTCATCTGTAGAATCGTCAGCCGAGCAGCTTCTCTGACGGGTGATCCGGTAGCTGAGGTATTTCGTGTCGATACGCACTGACAGGCGCTTAGAAAAGCGGAATCCCTGCACAAAAGCGCATCAAGTCGCGCGTCAACAGTCCTTCGATATCGTGCGAGTCGGTCTACACGACGTGTGTCAGCTTTCAGCATATGTTCACCATGTTTAAATGCCAAAAACAGTCTCACCTCATCTTCCCACCGCTTCGTCATAGCGTTCCAGCGATACGTGAGCAATCCTGACACCTGTGAATGAAGAAGGGATGAGACAATAGAAGTGTCAAGCCATCAGCAAAGAGTCCGAGTAAGAAAACGTCCTAAAGAGTTGACTCACCGGAGACACAAACTCAATCTGCTGCTCGGACGACTGCACTTGGATCACAAACTCTTGAGCATTGGTGCGAATTACAAGCGCGTCTTCTGCAGATCACCACCACCAGAAAAAATCCCACACAGCTCATTCACAAAATGTCCAGCAGTAGTTCCACCCAGATCGTCAAGATACAAAAGCTGCATTTGGGGAAAACGAATTAATGCATCCGTTAGAGACACAGAATGACGCACTTTTATCACGGCGGAGCTGGAAATCGCCATTGATTGGCGGATAAAGCGGCTCCATGGCAGTCTGGACACGGTCCAAGAACTTGGTCGAGAGAGCCGCAAACCTGTTTGTTCACCATTTTTTCACTATTCATTAGCTCCGTATATTAGTGTGACTTTTGCACGAGTGGTACTACCCACTTGTCCTTAGGCATCTTTCGCTTGGGAGGGTGACGACGGATGGATGCTCTAGCGGTTGGGACTGTGACCTTTTCTCGTATCTGCACAGCTGCCGCCGAGCTGCTGATCCTACATTATTTGACAAATGAGATGCAAATTAATTGGTGTTACGAGCTTGGTTCCCTTCTTCGTCATGAGCGACCAGGAGTGTATCAGGCCGTACCGCTTTGCCACGATAGCTCCTCGACGCATAATTTGTATTGTTGAGACTGTATTGTCGCGATAAATGACGTATGGGATGGAATATGTAAATGTTTTTTCGCAAAGATACAATTATGACTGATTTTAGTCATACGATTAAGGATCTTTTTACACTCACCCCTCTTTATAGAAGACTCTTTGTAAGAGATACCCTCTATAAAAGGGTCACAGTCTCGCCGAAAATTTTAGAACTATGTAACAATTGGCATACCGTACTCTTGACAAGCGAGAGAGATACGAGACACGAAAAATGCTCGCCCGTTTGAGGTGAAAACCCTCTTTTTATGACCCGCTACCAGGCCTCGGCAAGGTAAGGTAAGACACTCTTTGTTACCCGGTAAGATGGTAAAAGTCAGTGTAAAAGGGTAGAGGGTAGGCAAGGGTCAGGTAGCGGGTAGAGTAATGGCAAAGACGATCTCATTACCGGATTACCCGGTAAATTACAAGTAAAAAAAGGTTAGAGTCTGACATAAGGGCTACTGTGTTGCATTTTGCGAGTTGTGAGTTTCTCCATTGTCACAGAGTCCAAACTGAGTGCATCACAGATTTCTGCTGCGCTCTTGACAACCAGGGGGCAGAAAAAAATTCATGAAAATTCGAAGCACTCGTCTTCGTGCGTGCCCGCATTCCTAAGTTTGTAGATTCATGGAGGGATCAGACGGCCGCGACGACGACAACGGCGCCGACGTACAGACCTCGGTGCCAACTTCAAAACACTCTTTATGTCTTGGAACGGGGTGAGCCTGTTGCATGTAACTAACCTTGATACTTGCGAAATAGAACATTATCATTAAGATTGATAGTGTTCGGGAATATTACCATAAGGGGTAATATGCAGAAGCACTCACCGGTTGGCTGATATAAGCCATCATATCAGCCAGCTCTAGCGGTCTAATCAACGATGGAGTTGCGCAAGGAGTGGTGTGCAAGACGTTAGCATACACTTTTGTAGGTACATGTGATTAAGTTAGAGCTAAACACAGGTACATGTAATTAGGACTTAATTATATTTGATGCGGTTTACTTTCTACTGCTGTTGAACGCGTCGTTCATTAGCAAAGACTGCTAATGAACGGCACCTGCACTGACAACAGTGTAGGTGCACTAGTACTAAAGCAGTACCAGTGACCAGTGCCCCGCCGTATCTAGCATAAGTGAAGCAAATATCATACGAGATGTAAATAATTAGTGGTCAATCAGCTATATGCATGCGAATGGTGCTTGATTTGCTTATAGTTCGTATACATATTCTAATAGGATTCCTGGATGTGAGCTGGTATCCTTAAAGTGCCGGCGAAATGAGTGCAAGCTACAGCCGCACTCGTTCAGTCTGGAACAAATAACCTGCAATCCGTCGTCCAGCAGCTGGAGGTGGGTCTAGAAAATTGGGGAGAATACTCCTTGACAATGGTGTTGTTGAGTTGCGTTACTCCAATTCACCGAAATGGTATTTGAGATCGAACAAGAACTCTAACAAATAACCTTAATCGCGCTCGCTTCACCACCTAACGCATACAACTCGATCCTACGCAGCCCACCCATCTAGTCTATTTTTATAGGCTGGCGATGTCGTCAAATCATTAATTTCAGCTGCAACTCCAAGGATTAAAATTAAAAATTAATACATTTGTCTACCGGGTGATTACATAGGTAAAGGGGTATAGTAAGGTAGATGCAAGGTAGCCACATACCAATAGGTTAAAGGTAGTGGTAATGTAAAGGTAAAACAAAAAGGATTAACCGGTTCCCTTTTACCTTTCCTCGTCGAGGCCTACTCACTATCCCCAGTTCTGATGATTAAAAACAATACGTGGCATGCGATGAGACAGTTATTCCAGCTAAAGATTAGCCAGAACCTTGAGCTGATTCAGCAATATCATAGAACCACGGACGTGATCGAAAGAAAGACATGTAGCATGTCACATCAGGCGAGCTTATGAGACACAGAATACTGATGACGTCACGACGACAGATAGAGAAAACAAAATATAATAACTCCGTAAGGCAATAGATATGGATATATGCTATATAATTATCGTGAATACTCGACTACACCACTGACCCAACACGTCCATCCAAGAATTTTATCTCTTCTCGACATTAAGCCCGTGTAACCAAAGAGTTTAACAAAGCGAGTATCCTTCTTTCTAGAGCAGAAGAAGGAGGTCTATTAACACTGCAAAAAAACGCCAAAACATCCGCTTTTACGAAGTGCAGACGTATGCAATATTCAGTTCCAGCTTATCATTGGTAAGTTAACGGCGCATCTGCGCATGGCCATGAAAAGATCGAGTTTAAGGGCACTAACCTTAAAGTAAAAGAAGACGTAAAAAAACCGATTTTCGAGCGCGATAGTGACGGATTATCTGAAGACCTGGTCTTGTAAAAAGCAGACTGACTGCTAGTGAGCCACAATATCGAAGATCACAATCTCTAGCTGTTAAATTGATCGAAGGAAGGAACTAAAAGCAGATGTGAGACCTTGGGTGTGTTTTCACAACTGAACTAAGATTATACAAACACGATGCACCTTGGCTACTCCTGTTGGTGCATCACTAACTACTCCATACTACAAGAATAACCAACACTATCGTCACACGGGCTCTGTCGCCTTCCAACTGTCGGTTTGGCCACGTCGCCGTTCACCCAATATTCCAACGGTCGTCTTGGCTCATACAACCAACTGTCGTCTTCAACATCCAACGTGCAACTCGAAGTTCAACAAAGCATGTCAAAGTCTAACTCCAAACTTTTAGTGACTGGAACAACATCAAAAGCCGTGTGTTGACATGCGAGAGCGGGAGCTTGTGTATCTCGAATGTGCAAGCAGAAAAGTCTCAGATCCGATCTTTAATTAAATATTGTTCTCAGAGTGATTTAATAAACTTTGATGAGACAGCATTATAAAGGACTTGCCACCGATCAAACCCAATTCTTAGGCTCAAAATAACTGCAAGAAGAGCACAAAGTCATGCGTTACAGTTGCTCTGTGCTGCATCGAAAGTGGCACTGAAAAGGTGGAGCCCATGATCATTGGGAAGTTCAATAAGCCAGAGTGCTTATAGGATATGGAGATCGAAAAGTGGGGCATTGCATACGCTGCAAAACCCAACACCTGGGTGACTGGAATCTTCTTTGATAAGTGGCTGCATTAATTTAATTCTTAAATGCATTTTCACAAAGCCTGCTACTCCTCGATACCGCTTTCAGTCACAAGGTCCGATGAGAACTCAAAATCGCCACTGTGGTCGTTTTCCCGCCTAATATGACTTCCACTATCCAGCCGATCGATAAAGGTACGCATTTATCCATAATTTATACATGTGCGTCCTAAATCTACATGAACTTTCTCACCTACGATTTTATTTAATAGGTATTATCCGATCGTTTAAACTCGCTACAAGAAATTTTGTATGCGATGACGCATGGATATGATTGAAGCAGACATTAAACGCAGACTTAGAGTCTTACAAACCATTAAGATTGCAGCTGAGACATAGAAAAGCACCGGCGTGGAGATCATTCAAAGTTGCTGGATCAAGAGTGAGACCGTCAAAGCGCCACATGTTGTGGATTTGCGTGAACGAAACAATTATCGAAAGTCCAGCTTCGCCTTCAAACAATACTGCTGCGATCTGGTTGATATATTCCAAAAGCTAGAAATTAGCTTTAGCGTGAAGGATTACGTCGAAATCGATTACCATGAGCAGATTCACAAATAACAAAAAGTTTTAATTAAGGCAGAAGCGCGACACACAGAAGTCGAAAGCGACGCAGATAAAGGGCATTTCAGTGCAAAAGAAGCACTGATGTGCTGCGTGCTTTTGATATCGCACTTGACACGATAAGATGAGGACCAGCAAACAACTTAGTCAGATGTGGATGAGATATCGTCGGTTATTCGTAAGAACCGCCACGCTAGGGCGAAACAGCTCGACATGAGAAACTACAAATAGTAGAAAGCGTTGCATTTCATAATAAAGAGGGACGTATTCTGTAGCCTCACCTAAATACACCAATATTTTTTGCTGAGTCCGTATAAGATCATAAACTTTTACACTTCGTCCAGAAGGTCTGTAACGAGGTAACACGGCAATTATTAAATCGATTATGTTGTGTGTCCACACCAAGTAAAGATCGGTGGATCTGAGTGGTACATTATTGGCACCATGTAATTTCGGTAATACCGCACCTTATCGGGTAGGGGTAAGGGATACGAATTCTGTCATAGGGTCGCGATGTAGAAGTCAGTCAGACAAAGTTTTATGGTTTTGTTACCTTAGTTGAAGAACAAATAAAGTTCAATTTACCTTTTTAATTGTTGGAAACAAGTGCCTAGCAAATGCATATTATGTTGTTAAGAGTGTTAGCCTTGTAAAGGCGCTTACTCTTGTTTAACTAGCATTGACTAGTTAGTGTGTGATTCTGCGAATTGTAATTGTAACGAGGTAGCCCGTTATATGATATTGACACCAAACGGTGTCAATAGGAGATCGTCTAGCGTGACAATTCCCTACTGATATTATCCCCCTGTAGGATTATGTTCATGTGCTGCTCAAAGATTATTTGATAAAGACATATCAACCAAGGTTACCACCGTTCGCTGCTAGACGCGCGTAATGCGTGGTGAGCAGGTTGTCGTCATACGACAATGTAGACTGATATAATTAGATAAAGACTAAAGTTACATTGATAGCTTAACGATAATAGATCGAGTTCTGTAGTTACCTTTTAATCAAACTAGCTGTTTGAGTAGATTAGCTTCCTCTGCACGTACTAGTGTACGTGCGGTTTCTTGGGACCCAGACAAAGGGTGCCCCGTTACACCTGGTAGCTCTTTGTCGTCCACCCAACGACTACTTAGTGTCCGTTTAACTTTAACATGTTGGACGTACAAGACGACATATCTCACGTCACAAGTGAAGGCCATTCCCATCTGAGTGACTCAGAATGGGAGATAGTCGGCCGCATGAGTGTGCTCATGGGCGAAC